ATTGGATTTTAACTTAGATTCTTTTATGATATCTAAGGAATTGATGATTCTGTTGTGACTGTACAGTCTTTCAAAATTGCTTTTCTGTGTTAACACCACCTCATCCCCTTCCTTTCATTCAACAGAACCCCTTCTAATTTTCTTTTTTACTGATGTATAGAATCAGCTTTAGCCTGATTCTTACTGTTATTTTAAATTAATCTTTAGTAAAATACATGTTGGAGTGACAGTTTGCAAGGTTGAAGTCCTGTAATAACCTGCAGATCCCGTATTACAAGTGCCTATTGTGTCAGCTCCCTAACACTTTGCCAATGGAATTTTATAATGACCATTAAAATGTAAGAGCAATTCACTTTTCATTGTCACTCAGTCATTGAACTTTTTTGATAATATAAATAAATGTGCTGATGGGACTGATTGCTGTTCCAGTTTAAAAGGAGACTATAAATTCATTCTCACTGGTGCCATTAAGTGTCTCCAAGATGTAGCTGCTTTTCTGTTTGATATTAATGCATTTCAGCCCCACACTCATTGTCTGAAGCTTAAGGGCTCCTTTGAGCAGTTTGCTATTTTTCTACCTCTTTTCATTCCCTTTACTAAAGCACATCATTTAATTCATGTTTCCAGCTAACTTAAAATCTTGAAATATTCTTTATTCTGATTTTATCAGGCAATTTGAAGAAGACACTTCCTGAAGAGACAGAAAAGCCTCAGGTAGAAATGCTGTCTGACTCTGAGACTGAAAGTCCAAGCAGTGAAGGCAAAAGAACAATGACTCTTGCAGGATTAAGGGAGTCCTTCTCTCTCCATCAAACACCAGAGTGTAATTTTCGAAGCCCTAAAAAGGTAAAACAGCAGCACAGTTCCCCCAGACAAATGTTACTTGACACCACTGTGAGTACTGGAAAGACTCAAAAAGCTGTGTTCACTAAGGAGCCTGGGGGTTGGCATAAGATGGACTCAAAGGTGTCAATTCTGAGCAAATATTTGAGAAAATTAGAAGATAACTCAGATTCTGGATTCTGTAGCATTTCTGAGTCAGATGCTGGATGCAGTACACCAGAGGCTGGGAGCTGCATCAATAGTGAAAGTGCAATTAATTCTGAAGAAGAATTCTGTAGCACAGAAGAACAACTTCAAAGTGAATGTCTTAAAAGTGCTGGATGCAGTAAGAAATCATTGGGTTGTGATGGTCAGGTCTTGGGCACTGAACCTAAGTCACATCAAGGGAACGACAGGACTGACCAAAGTAAGTTCTCTGAAGAAGCCAATAGTTCCTCTCCAAGAGTAAAACGTTTTAAAAGCAGAAACTTTAAAAGCAAAGCAGAGGATTTGGAGGCAGGTAAATACCCTGAAGTGAAGAACACTTCTGCTGATGTACTGGTGGAAGTTAAAAAGAAAATTGTGCCTCTTGAATTCTCCATGAAGGTTTTGGCAGAAAAGGTCAAAAAGGTAATACAGCAACAACAGAAAAGGACAGAAACAGAAAATTACAGAAGATTTAAAGCAAAAATTAGTCCTGGGGACAATAAAGTAGCAGAAGATGAATTAAGAAAAGAAATCAGGTATTTTCACTTTCTTAACACATTTTGTTCATCAATTAATAAAATGAGTTAAGGAAAAATGTAAGTTCTGTCTTTGGGAGTGGGCAGGGGGCTTGCAGGTACCTGTTAGCTTTGGGTCTGTGTTTTATTAAATGTCATTAAAATGTCTATTTGATGAGCTATTTTACTGACAGAGCAGCTCTTTGAACTAAGTGCAGACAGAATGTGGAAAAGGCACTAAAAAGGCCACAAACATTATAGATTTGGCTTATTTCAGCCTTGTAAACTGCAGTGCAGTCAGAGAAATACCAAATTTCATGACAGATAAGAACAATCTGAAAAGACTGTACAGCTCATATCCCTTCCTCGTGTGAATGTGAAATGTGGTGAGATGTGGCTGAAAAAATAAGTTACATTCAGATGGTCACTGGACAGTAAAAGTCTGAGATTTGTTAATATTTGGATTTAAAGAATGTCATAGGAAAGTCTTGTAATTGTGAAAAGGAGGCAGATTAAGGCAACTGCCTTCAAAACCATGATGCCATCTTCAGTACTGTTCACTTCAACTATTGCTGTACTGCCTGTTTCTAATTTATTTATCACAAATGGGAGAATCTTGAACGAGTCCTGTCTTAATGATGGATTGTGTTCTGCCAGATATGGCCTCATCAGTCAGTGGCACATCCCAGATAACTCTACTTTTCCACATTTATATCCCACTTAAATGTGATTTTTTTTTTTTTTAATGTGAGGTGTGTTCTGCACAAGTTTTACAGTTTAACATGAAAACTGAAGAGGTGTAATTTATAATCTCTGTGTTTTTTGTATACAGTAAAGAAATGTTTGCAAAAATGGAAATCATTGGCCAGTTCAATTTAGGGTTTATAATAACAAAGTTGAATTCTGATCTTTTCATAATTGACCAACACGCTACTGATGAGAAATACAACTTTGAGATGTTGCAACAACACACTGTTCTCCAAGGTCAGAGGCTGATAGTGTAAGTATTTCCAGTGTTATAACAATAACATTTTCTAAGCTTAATTCAGTGTTTCAGAAGGATAACTGATTGTGTAGCATTTCACACATTCAGAACACTTGAGACTAAAGTTGGGTTTGTATTCAGTGTTTCAAAGAGTCAATCCTCACATGAAAAATAAATTCCCTGGATGCAGCTGCAGCTGTGCAGCAAGGCAGTGGTCAGAGATCTCACAGTGGCCTTACATGGCAACCCACAGTTTGTTATCCAGTGAGGATATTGGAGACTGTTCCTGCACAGGGAATGCTGGCAGTGGACTTACTTCTGTTGAGTAACACTTGGAAGTAACTGTTCAGTAGTGAGATTTTTTTTTTGACAAAGCAGAGGGAAATGTTTCAATAGAGAGCTCTGTATTAGTATCTCTAGGTTGCTTCTGAAGCCTGTCTTAAGTGCTCTGCACTGTGTACCTATGCAATACCATCTTTTTCTCTCTCTTTCAGGCCTCAAAATCTCAATTTAACAGCAGTAAATGAAACTGTACTGATTGAAAACCTGGAAATATTCAAAAAAAATGGGTTTGATTTTGTCATAGATGAAAATGGTGAGTTGGACCAGTTTTAAGTAGTTTTTCTCTCAAGAAAAAGTAATTTCCTGTATTGCTCTGTATCTTTATTATCATTGCAAATCTTTCAGCTCCCGTAACTCAAAGAGTTAAACTGGTATCGTTGCCAACAAGCAAAAACTGGATTTTTGGTCCCCAAGACATCGATGAGCTGATCTTCATGTTGAGTGACTGCCCTGGAGTCATGTGCAGGCCCTCCAGGGTCAGACAGATGTTTGCTTCTCGAGCTTGCAGAAAGTCTGTAAGTACTGCAGTTGATGCTTGGTTCCAAATAAATGCCAGATTTTCTGATGTATTGTAGGTGGCTATCTCTGTGTATGCATTGCAGGGGAAGTTTACTTACTGTGGAGTGTCAACAGCTGATATCCTTTGTTCTGTTCCTCATGTTTTTATCTAGTGGAACCTGGGGAAACATTTCTGGTAGTTTTTTATTGTGTTCCAAACTGGTGCACTTATGAACACTGTGTTAGGTGTGTTTTGTCTTCTGATCCTCTGGTAGGTTTTTTTGCTTTAAATGCCTTGCACGGAACTTACTCGCTGCAGTGGCTGAATTACTGCTCTGGTGTGTGTCAGCTGTCAGTATGGAGAAAGGAAATAATAATTTATTTTTTCTCCTTTCCTTGCAGGTGATGATTGGAACTGCACTGAACGTGCAGGAGATGAGAAAACTGATCACCCACATGGGTGAGATTGAGCATCCCTGGAACTGCCCCCATGGAAGGCCTACTATGAGACACATAGTCAGTTTAGACATGATTTCACCAGAATAAGTCAGTTCCTGCTCATTAACATTGTTAATTTTAATTCTTGGTGGTATTTTGAGCTTTTACCGTGACTCTTTTATTTTAAGTAAAAGGATTTTAGCCAGTTTTCAAAGTTGGAAACAATAGCACTTGAAGACATTCAGCAGGGTTTCATTGTTATTTCTCTCAAGTCAGCAATACTGGAACTCACGTGTAAATAACTTTTACTGAAGTTTACTTATGTGTATTACTTATTTGTGCAGCAATCAAAACTTTCATAAAATAAATATAGATGTTTATATATAAAGATCATGAGTAGATGAACCTCATTTACAGCAAATACACTGATTTTTAAAATGAAGTGGAATGTGAATTTAAGTCTCTAGTAATGCCATAGAACAAATACTAACTCCTCTGTGTTTATACATCCTGCATATGATAATTTTAAAGCAAATGGAAGTGATACAGAAGATAAAGTACTTTTTTTTACTTATACTAAAGCTGGGTTTCATTATATAATTACCTCAAGCATAAATATTGCACTTAATGATTAACTTACTGGTGTCTGTGTTTCAGGCTTGAATAGAATAATTCATCTGGCATATTTACTTTAATTAGACTTGTTCTCTTCCATGTTCCAAACTTGTTTATCAAGAAGAGGGATCCCTTTTCTGACAGTGAATGCTAAACTGCCGATAAATTCTGGAAATTTCGAGCAGAATCAAAATAGTTACTTTGAATCCGAAACCATTAAAACAGATGGCTAAGCTCTTCCACGTCTGTAGGACCAAGATTTGACCTAAGAAATCCATGTGTTTATGGGTGATGTTCCCTCTGCCCCTCCCTTTGCCGTGGCCGTGATGCTGCTGATGTTCCTCCCGTGCTCGGAGCCGCCCGTGGCAGATCCTACCCACAGTGGGTACCTGTCCAGGCCCCGCGGATGGGCCGAGTGCCTTCGGTAAATCGTGGATGTTCGTGCGGAGCCGCAATTCCCAGCCCTGCCCGCACTCTGTTAAACCCGCCGTCGTTATGGCCACGGCAGCGCCGCCGCACTGCGCCTGCGCGGGGCCTGAGGGCCGGCGGGGGCCGTGAGGGGACGGGGCGCTGCGGGGACCGAGTGGGGGACAGGGCTGTGGCACCGGCTGCCCCCGCGGCCCTCGGGAAGGGCTCGGCACTGGACCATCCCTCGGGAAAGGCTCGTCACCCGGCCATCCCTCGGGAAAAGCTCGGCACCGGGCCGCCCCTCGGAAGGGCTCAGCCCCGGCCGCCCCGCGGACCCCCGCGCTCCCACTCGTGCCCCCCGCGCAGGTCCCGGCGCTGCCTCAGGGGTGAGGATGCGGCGGTGGCCGAGGCTGCCCCTGCCGGCCCTCGCCACACGGGCATTGGGTTCTTGCGCTGCTTTCACTCAGTGAAATGAGTGCGAGTTACTATTGCAGCTGCTCAAGCAGTGCTGTAACCTTCAATTAGCTCTTAACCGGCGAAATAACTACAGCACACAGTGGTTGCGCTGTATGGCGGTTCAATCTGCAACTCGTAACCTGGGAGGCAAGTTAAATCAATAGTATCAGTGCAGCTGTGACTTTTAAGAAACTTGCCAAACTCATATCTTTCAACTTTTCTGCATAATTAAATCTAGACACCTAAAAATGGAGTAAAGATGGAGATCTCCGTGTAGCAAAATTAAGTCTACTGACACCACTTCCATCAGGATGGTTTTGATGGATGACTTGGAGGTAATTCCCAGGCAGTGCTCCCTGTTAACCCTGTGCCTGCCTGCCACAAGGTGACACAACTGCCTTGAGGAACTGCTGTGACAGAAATAACTTAAATGTATGCACGTATAATAATTACAGAAAGATTGATAATTTTTTGTGTAGTTAGCTGTGTTTTGAGGGGTTTTTTATCAGCTTGTTTTTAGGGTAAAAAAATTTACATCAGACAGAAGTAAATTTTCATTTTTCAGAAGGAAAATACGCATTGAGACAATTCAGCAGCTATGCCAAAGGGCAAGAAGAAAGATGTCAAGAAAAAAGATGTCAAGAAAGACAGTAAGACAGCAGACAGCGAGAAGGCAGAAGAATCTGTACATACTCCTGATCCTGCACAAGATATTACAGCTGAGAGTGGTTTAACAGGGCTGCCAGATTTGCAGAGTGATTCAGTGAATGCCGTGGGAGAAACTCAGGCAACTCCAGAGATCCCAGAGGAGGAAGAGGAACCTCCAGTCCAGCCTGTTCCTCAGTACCGTGAGGAGCCTGTTCTTGCTCAAATTATTGTAAAAAGGTATGTATATATACTTGTTACAAATACAGCAGTGAAGTCAAGAATTCTCACTTAAGTATCTCTGCTGTACCCAGGGTCATACAAACACAGGTTTGACTCTTGATTTGAGGCAGAGAATTGGGTTATTCACTCCTAGTAGCAGTGACACCTCATGAGACATACATGTAGAATTCTGCTGCCTTCAGAAGGATGCTCTTTTAGCTTGTCCATTTTTGGCAAAGTTTTGTTTAAATATGCAGACAATTGGTGAAGAAACTATAGTTATATCGTGTCATGCTTAGATGTTGCTGCCTTTTACTGTTTAGGGCTGCTCATATCCCTTAGAAATATCTCAAACTGGAGAAGCAGGCAAATGGCAATGTTGACAAAATCCTTTAGTATTTCAAGAGGACTGTATATAATGTTTCACATAACAATATTCCTGGTTGTAAGCTAGTAAAGGCTACCAATGTGATTTTTTTCTTAATTGAAAGAAATATGGGTCTGAGGCAAGACAACAGTTATGTGAAATATTGCAAGGAAGGTTCAAAAAAGTGGAAATTTTCTGGTTTGTTTTTCTACACAAACACAACAGCTGACCTTTGTGTAAACCTTTAGTTTGCTTTCTTTGTAGCTATGAAGGTGAACAAGTCAATGGATTGTATGAGGGTGAAGGATTTGCATGTTTTGAGGGAGGGGGTACTTATAAGGTGAGTATGTAATTAAAAAAAAATAATATAGTAGTGGACCAAGTTCTATCTGTAGAATAGACAGGCTGTTTCTTTTAAGGCGGGTGGAGGTTGAACTTTCAGAAGCATTGAAAGTCAGCATTAAACTTGTTGGGTTTTGGCATTAAACTTGTTGGTTTCTGGCATTAAAATTCTTGATTTGAAACTAGTTATGGGGGAATTGATATGTTATTCTTCTGAAGTCTTATGGTCACTGTGGGCTTCAGCTGGGGTAAGAATAAATTTGCAAATGATGCCATTCTCTTCATTTTGAAGGGCATGTTTTCTGAAGGGTTTATGCATGGACAAGGGACTTACACGTGGGCTGATGGAGTGAAGTACGAGGTAAAGTACAATTTAAGTTATAACTGAACTCAATTACAGCCAATGAGATGTGCAAACTGAAGGAAAGTACCTCAGTTGCAGGAATTGGTACAGTACAGGTGGCAACTGCAGAACTGTGGCAGTGACTTCAATCACAAGCCTGACTTCTCCCAGATAGTTGGGGGACACTCTTAGTTTTTTTTAATGTTGTAACTGAATCTTTCAGGGAACATTTGCTAAGAATGTGCAGATGTTTAATGGCCGTTATACATGGAATGATGGCGTCTATGAAGGATCAATCAAAGATGGAATTAGGCATGGATTTGGATTTTTCAGGAGCAGAACTCGTCCTATTTCTTACCTTGGCGAGTGGTGTAACGGCAAAAGACATGGAAACGTGAGTAAGAACCAAAGGAGAGCAGGGGCTTGGATGGTACCTTCAAGAACAGCAAGTGTTACTGAGCAAAGGTTTTACAAAAGTGTTTTGTTCCGTTGCATGGCCTTATGCTGTGTAGAGAATTGTTTTCCCTGAGGATTTTTTTCTGAAGTTGTGAACATAGTTAACTCTGTAGAGCTACTGTTGGAAGGGAATGGGTCAGAAAACCAATCTGCCTCAGAGTGAGTACTGAAATTGTTGCCAGAGTTAGTTCTCTTCAAGTATTTCCAAGTGGTTTGAAAAACATGGTAGACTTTGATGTGATGTAATACAATTTTTCTTTTGGTTGCTTGGTGTTTTTTAAGTTTTTTAACTAATATTCATCAAAGGAGGTTGCTTTTTTTATTTAATTCTATCACTTCAGTTGCTTTCAGTACATCATCTCAAAGTGACTAAGTATTAGAGCGTGATTGCATGTGTCATGTAATTTGTATGTGATGTTTTATTCATGCAGATGAATATTTAGGTTTTTCAATGGCCTGTGCTGTTTGTTTCAGGGTATCATTTATTTTGATGAGGAACATGCCTCTTGGTATTCAGGTGAATGGGTCAATAATGTCAGAGAAGGATGGGGAATGAGACGGTAAATGTGATGAAAACATACTTCATGTTTTTATATTTCATGTATAATATCATACAGTTTCTCCCTTTGTTTAAAATGGATACAAATGCTGTCATTTCATACTACTGCAGTAGAATAAAAGTGCTTTATAATAATAAAACAGACCTTCTTTATAACTTATATTTTTATGTGCTGTATTTCTATTGATCATTCACATAAAAGAACATCTAAAGACAAAATCCCAGCTCAGCTTTGGTAAACCACAATTCAGTATTTAAAACCAAACACGCTGGATTGATTTGAACAGATGGAGCTGCTTTATGAATAATGACTTATGTGTAGAATTACATATAAAGATTTTTACTAGCTATGGCAAAGACTCTTTGAAAAAAAAAAAAGAGCTGGTTAATGTTTAGTGGTTTGTAAGTTAAAAATAGTAGGCAAACGGTGGCTACAATCAAACCTCTGTATCTGTGCCACAGTGAGTCAACTTCCAAATTAATAGTTATATTTAGCAATAAATTCTAAATTTATTAGCAATGAGATTTTGCATAAGCCTTTCACAAGATCAGCTGAGAATTTAGGATGAATAGTCATTAGCTGTTATTGTTTTCTTGCAGCTACAAGTCTGGAAACACCTATGAAGGTCAGTGGAAGAAAAATGTACGACACGGACATGGAAGAATGATATGGTTGGCAGCTAAACAAGAGTATGTAGGACAGTGGGTGAATGGCATCCAGGTATTAATTGCTTCCCTGGAAACCTCTCTTCAGTTCAGCATCTGTCCACTGCTCTAGGAAAGCTGGATAGGGAGTTTTGTGCGATATCAAAGAAGCTTTTTATGTTTTTTGTCAGTTGAGATAGCAGAAACATGCTCTTTATTGTAAGTTGATTCTCATGTTAGCAATATTCAAATTGTTAAAAGGCTTTTGACTTAGTCTTATAAAATCATAATTTAACTCCCTAATGGAAAATAGAAACATTTTTCAATTAAAAAAAAACATTAAAAGAATTTAAGTGTTTGTGGCTATATTTAGCTTGAGATATTACTTCAGCAGTAAGTACATGTGATAATTTACTTCACCATCACCTTTAAAATATTAGACCACACTGTTTCCTCTTGGAAAAGCATTAAGATGGAAGATGATTTTTGTGGCATTTTCTGTTTCTTCTGTTTATTATTCTGCTGGAAAAAGAATGTGAGCTACCTGCTTTGTCTTTTCACTCTGCTTAAAATTACCAAGGAGTCCAGCTTCTGGAACATCCTGGCTCTCAGGCACGGTGTTCAGGATTACAGGCAGAAGGATTCAGGCAGGAAGGGTGGCTTTGGGAGTCCTGTTATAGAGCTTGCTCAAGTGTGCATTGATTCAGTGTATCCCCTGGGTCTTCTCCCGGGCACCTTTGCAGAACAGGGTTCTGTGACTGGTTTGAGGTGCTGCAGCAATCACCTGGGGACCTTTATTTCAGGGACTCACCCGGCCCTAGAGCAACAGCAGCTCTGCTGGGGATGTTTTTTTCTAAACACACGGATTTTTTTTCAGCACGGATACGGCACCCACGTGTGGTTTTTCGAGAGAGCTGCTCTGTCTCAGTACCCTCTGAGGAATGAATACGTGGGGGATTTTGTGCGAGGGGAACGACACGGGCACGGGAAGTTCATCTACGCCGGGGGAGCCCTGTACGAAGGCCAGTGGGTTTGTAATAAGAAGCACGGCAAGGTGAGTCCTGACAGAACTATGGACAGCAGCAGAGCAGACTGTTCTGCCCTGCACTGTGCATCTCCAGATTCCTGTGCAGAAAACCCCATTCAGTTTGCAGTGGGGATGGAATCCACCACAAAGGGCAGGGAGTCCACTGAGAGCAGTAGGAGTCCCTCCAGGGACCTCTCTGGGCTGCAGATTGACTCTGTGGTCAGGTGTGTGTTGTGTGTATTAAGAAATACATTTCCCTGGGGAGATTGTCAGTGCAATCTTGAGTTTTGCAGTGGTTGGTCAGTATTTCACACCTCCACTGTGAATTAATGGATTTCAAGCTGTCCTTGCACAGAGTTCTCCCATAAAACAGATCTTTGAAAAAACTATGAGTGCCACATATGCAAACTAAGAATTGCAAACAAACCTTTCTATGTGTTTTTCTTCAAAATACTTTTCAAAATCAAACAGATACATAGGTCTCATCCCAGCAGTGTACTTAGTTAACAGGTGACAGAGTACATTATGAAAGAGGGTAGGAAAAATTATTTTCATGTATTTTATCTCATATGTTGCATTTTAGCCAAGATTCTGAAAAGGAAGTTTGACTGAGAACATTAGTGTTATTTTTATGATCTTTGTTTTGTGTTTATATTAAGATTAATTCTGTCTGTAGGGCAAGTTTATCTTCAAGAATGGTCATGCTTATGAAGGAGAGTTTGTAGATGATCGTCTGGTAGTTCTTCATCTTCCAGTGAATGCAGTGAATGCAAAAGAGCTGAGTGGCATTGGCACTCATTCTGTCATTGGTAAGCAGCTTCACAAAAAATATTTCACTCAGTTCACATTTTGTTGTTCCATTTTGCTATAATGTGAAGCTGTTTGTACTTACTCAAGAAGCAGACAAATTTCTTCAAAGAACTTGGATAAAAATGGGAATTATCTTAATAATTAATGACTTTTACTTCCATGCTTTATTTCCTGCATGTGACACTTTGAGTTGAGTGACACAACCACATTCCATCTTGTGATGTTTTTGGAACACTGTTGTCTGAAAGCTTCATAACATATGTAATATCTGCATTTCCTTTTGGCTAGGAGTTGGTTTGACAAAAATACCCTTCAGTTGTTATGCTGTTGATTATGAAATCCCTAGTCCTCATTATAAAGGAATCCATTGATCGAAGTCAGTAAGATGAAAAGGAATAATATGTGTTTTATTTTTCTCTGTGTGCATATTTATATGTTAAACTTTGGTTTAGTTTGTTCTAATTTATTTTATTTGCATGGTAGAAAATATCACAGTCATTAATGACTTGGAAAGTACTTCTATCCTTGGCTCGGATATTGAGTTGGATATATCTTCACTGCTTGACTTGTTCCCAAGGGAAGAGAGACAGGAAGAACTGCACCAAGTAAGAGTCTACTCTTTGATGTTTTCAGTTTTCCCCTGCAGTGTCTTTCATACTATTTTATTTCTGGTTTATTTGTGTTAAAGTAACTCTTTCCGTTAAAGAATTATTTGAAAATCTGAAGGCCGTGAAAACAGAAAAGCAAAAACAGTGAATAAACAGTATTTCCTCTTCTGAGCTTCCACTAAAAAGCAATAAAAATAGATTAACATATCTGGAAGGGCATTCAGCAACTGCCTTTAACCACTCTGAGGTTTGTCTGCTGACAGAGGATAATTTATTTTTATCAGTCACCAAAAGCCATGTATTTTAACTACTTTAGAGTAAAGCTTTTGTGAACACTTAGCTGGGGATATGCTCTTCCAAGTTGCAAGGTCAGAAAATTACCTGCCCAGTTACAGGATCAATACAAGCTGATCTCTGCTTGCTCTGAGATGATGCTGAAACCATATCCTGCTTTATTTAGGTAGAATGTGCCGTGTTGAGGCACATGATAACGCTGAGAAGAGACTACAACTTCTACAGTGCCTTAGGCTACGTTCATTCTCCCGACAACACTTTCCTCATGACTAAGCTCCAGTTCTGGAGGTTCCTGAAGGACTGCCGGATTCATCACTCCAAAATAAGCCTTGCTGAAATGGATCGGGTGGTGGCAGGTTTGTACTTCCAGTGGCTGGGGTCTGGAATCCAGGAATTTTAGTAGTAAGCTGTGGAAAGCTGGAGTGGCAAGTTCTAGTGGTAGCTTAACTGTGGTAGTTAAGTGGCCCCAAGTCAGTACCTCTGTGCCTGTGAGTTCTCAGGGGATGCATTAACGCTTCTCCAGGCACTTCTGATCCTTAGGTGAGAAAACACAAAATTAAAATACAGCCTTAAAAATTGCACTGAAGAGACATCTGTTCAGAAAATATATTCACCCCTAATCTTGCCATTACTGTTACCTGTAGTTTTCAGAGAAAGAGACTTGGGAGAGACAAATCTTTTTATTTTTCATGTTCTTAACTTTGGTTTGCCTGTAGTATGTTTTTTTTTCTTCCCTTTAGACTTGCAGTGTCCCTAGTATGTGAAGAGTTTAACTCCAGCTTTGCATCCCCTTTTATTTCTATATATGCTGAGTGGATGCATTTCTAGAAAGAGAGAATTATCTAAGATCCAGCTATAGGTGGACAGTTCTCCCTTGATCTGCTTGTTTGAAAATGGTGCAGTGTCTGCTTTGAGTCTTTCAGGAGTGTTATTGCCTGTGATAGGCAGAGATGGAGAGGATAAGAAAGGCTGACAGATCAATGTTCCTATAAGGAATGTGAGATGTGAGCATAATAAAGGGTTGTTTTTCAAAATTTTCAGGTGGTAAAGGGCTTCTGGAGATCCATTGTCCACACCAGCTATTACTGTTCAGAACATTTTTATCTTACCTTATTCATCTGGCATTTCATATATATCATAAAAAGCACAAGTAAGTTCCATCTTTTAGTGCAATTTATTTCAGTGTAATCAGTTGGAATCTTCCCAGACAAGAGTATTTTTGTTTCACCTGTAGAGTGAAAGGTCGTTCTCTGGACGGGTGTTTCTCAGCAATGATGTCCAGGAATGTTATTCCCACTGCCTGTTGTGTCCAAGGTAAGCCATGGTATTCCTTCAGTGCAGAATTCATCAATCAGTACCACATACATCACTGTTTTATTATAACCATTATTTTTTACCAATTCCTTTTAAAAGGTATCTTATTTTCTGAAGAAAGACACACTCTTTTTGCCATGAGCTACATTGACAAATGCTGGGAGATATACAGAGCTTTTCACAGCCCGAATCCCAAACCTCCCTTTGAACCCACAATGAAGATAAGGCAATTTGTTTGGATGTTGGATGTAATAATCTAATTTTTTTCTGTTTTGTGTGATTAGATGTGCTTTATTTGTTCACTTTATATGGGCTTTTTAGAACTGTGGCTTCTGCACAGCTGAAAAGGTAGGGCTGATATTATTTGTGCAAACTGTCCAACAGACATTAAAGGGATGGTTGTTCTACAGAAATTATTTTTATGCATTTTTTCAGGATTGAATTCTAATTTTGTACTTGATCATTTCAAATGATCAAATCTTAGACAAAAGTGTTTTAAGGGAATATAAATATTTTTTTCTGGTCCCTCCTGTGTCCCCCTCCACCCCATCCTATAAAATGAATAGATGAACATGTCTTATTGTTAGAACTCAAAGACTGGCAGTTATTGAAATAACACAGGAAAGCACTTCAATAATGTATTTACTGCAAGATGAACGTGAGATTCTTTACTAAAATTCAGTAATTTAGGGACAGATCAAAATTACTCTGAAGCTAGGGAACAATTCCCATTACTGTGCCTGGGGTTTGGGTGACTGTCACTTTATAAATCCAAGCCATTTTTTCATGAAAAAAAAAATCAGATGGCAAAATCGTAATTTTTTACGTTTTTGTTTATGAGCTTTCCACAAGCTCTCTTTTAACTCTGTTTTTGCAGTCTAAGGAATATTCCCATTGGCTTCAGTAGGGCCAGAATTTCACTGTGTTGTTACTTACACATGTGGAAATATCATTTGAAACCACTAGAAATGTTGGTACTGGCTTTCAAGGGTAGATTAGGTCCATGTGGGAATGCCTTAAGTGCTGTTAACATGTAACATTTACTCTTACCCAGGAATTGAAACTTATCAACAAACAATTAACTGTTTCAAAACTTGTGAAAATATTTGTCAAAGTTGGTGCCTCACCACGTGGTAGGACTGGTATCAACATGGAACTGGAGGTGTGTATGGAAAAAAACATAGTTCATAGCTACAGGAACAATTAAAGTTGCTTTTAAAAACTGCTGCAAATGCTATCCTACCTGCTGGAGCAGGAAGAAAATGGATTAATTTATTGGAAAAAAAAAAAGAAGAGTACAAACTCAGGCCTCTATTTTTGTCTTCCTTTGTTCTACCTGTACCTTTTAGTTTAGTTCATGTACATCTATATTTTTCTTAATATCCTACTCTTTTTAGTACAGTCTCAGCATACTGGAGCATCCAGATAACTCCTTAGGAGTGCCATAGCCCTCAGGGGGAATTATACCATTTCCAGCAGGCTGCTGCTGGTGGTAGCTGTGTCTGTGAGGCAGCTGCCTGACAAGATGTATGTTAGTGATTACACAGAGATCAATCTCTGCACTTCCAGCTGCCAAGGCTGTTAAGGTGGATCAATAATTAAGATCTGAACCCAGTGATCCTGAAAATTTGGTGATTCAAGAAACCTGATTAGTGCCATGTGAAGTGCTGCCACCTCAGTGAGGTTGAGTAGTGACTGTAGAAGACTCTTGTGCTCCCCAAGAGTTGGCCCAGTTTGGAGGGTTCTCACCCTTCAAGAATTAGCAACAGTCTGTAGTAAATTGCTCGACTGAATTTGTTTTAAACAGATAAACTGAACACACATAGTAAGTCTTACCAAGGGATCTGTTTTACACCCATTCTTGGGGTTTCTTGAAGCATCATGTGCAAGTAAAATATTTTAGGTAATAGCTGTAGTTGTGAGTTACTTTTTAGAGAAATTTCTTACAGCTGCAAATAAAACAAAAATCTATGCAGCATTTTAGTTCAGTATTGCTTGTATAAGCTGTAACACAGTGTATCACCTCTTAAATTTTTTGAGCTTTGGCTGTTTTCAATTTTTCTTCAGAAGAAGAGATGTTTGACTAGTTAGTGGAGGCCAGTGAGACTTCACAATGGCTTCTGAGTTCTTTGCTTGCTAAGTTACACATACCTGTTACTGAAGGAATTTTGCAAAAATGAATGAATTTAACCATTGTGTTTCTTTTACTCTAGTTGGTTTTTCTGGAATTTTTTGAAGCTCTTCTTGAATGTGCAGTGGTGTACGTTACCCATGACATGGTTAAGGAGCAAATAGCTCATGAGAATCAGAACAGAGCTAGCTTTAGATTCAAGAACTTCTCCAGAGAAACCTCAACTTTGTACTCAGGATATTCTCAGGTAAAATTGATGCAGCCCTGTTAAATATTATTATGTGTCCACTTAGAGGGCAAAGTCAGGCCCTGCAAATATTCTGTTTCCTGAACGTAGAAACCAATTTCCCCTTTTTGCGTAAACAGTTGTTTGATTGGGTCCTTCTGCTTTTCCTGTTTGTTGCTACCTTACATTGTAACATCAGTGTGGACAGTTTTAACACATTTGCACGTTTTCCTAGATAACTATAAATACATATAAAGTACTTGCAAACCTTCTGAAGGGGAACTGCCAGATTGCTTGGCTGGTGGAAGACATCTCTCCTACTTTAAGCTGAATGTCTAAAATGGCATTGCAGCTGTTGTAGGTAGCAAGCCTTGCTGTTTTCTAGCAGTTAAGCTGTGCTCTTTTCTCCTTTTGCTAAACTTTTGAATAAGGATTTTGGAGGTCATAAGATGCTGCCTGTGACACAGGTACAGTTTGGATGCACAGGGTAATTGAAGGCATGAATTAGAATTGTTATTATTTGGAATTATGCACAAGGTGAAAGTATTTTTATTAATTCCAAGAGCATTCACAAATACCTAATTTCACAGTCTCTGTAAGCCAGTAGTGCCACTGTACACCACCACTTCCCATTCCTTGGCCAGCTGTTCCCATCCTATGGACCCATTCCCTTGCATCACTGCAGGCATTGGCACAGTTGCACAGCGAAGTGGTCCAGTTAAAATAGTCAGATTTTCCAAGACCAGAAGAAAATCTTAATTTAAACGTACTGAGGGTAAAATTCTTCTTGTGTTTACATTTCATTAGTGCATATACAGCAGAAGTACAGTTGGTGCAGACATAAGCAATGACATTTCTGAGGCAGCTGAGCTGTGCACTCAGGAGCAGATGAACAATTGTATGTAGAGCAACATGTGAGAACAGAGGAACATCTCTAAGAACAGGAGCTTTCATTCTCTGTATTTCTGTCTTTCCCTACCTCTGAAATAGGATAATCCTGCTTACCTGGCAGGTATCAGAGGTAAAGTGTTACCTGCTAATATTTGAAAATGTGAAACACTATTGCAATTTAAATGTTTTGAGATAGGCATGATTGCAGAATGCATTTGGTTGGCACAGTGCTTTGGAGATGGGAATTTGTATGACTCAAAGGGACATGGGATCTCACTTTTTAGTTTGAACACAAGCCCAGATGTTTAGTAACTGAATTTAAAACTTCTTGCCAGCCACTGAGGTCTCGTGAAGACAAAGAGCAGTGTCAGCATGCATCTCTTCTGGGTGAGTACTGCAGTTACCATGAACATCTGTAAAAATAGAGGTGCTAGAGGAGATTCACTCTTTCTGAAACCTTCAAGACAATTAAAACAGAAGATGATCATTGAAACAGCTGATGTATTGCAGTTACACAGGGCACCTCATTCAATTTGGCAATTATGACAAGGTTTATGTGTAGCTTTCCATACCTCCTGCACACAGAGAACTGGGCAGGTTTGAATCTCTGAATTTTCTGTGCTTTTTAATTAGAAGAAATCACTTTTTCCTTAACAATAACTTAAAAGTCTTTTTAAACCTTAATTCTTCCTGTTCTATCCCACTCATTTGGGCATGGAAACAAGAGATTGAACTCTGCACTGTTGCCTTCATTATAGACAAACTTTTCATAATTTCAGAAGCATTTTAACCACAAGTCTAGCTGTCAGGTCAGGGGACAATCTATATTTGTTTGTGCTGAAGATCAAACTTGATATTTAATGCACAGAATTAAAGAGTGAGTTCTTCTAATTTTCTTTCTTTGGATTATCAGAGACTGTCCTCTCATTTGCCCCAGCTTGTGCAGACAGCAAAGATGATCTGTCATTGTCCAGCTGGGATGCAGGAAAAGAACCAGATTCATCTTCAGCAAAGGAATTGGGAGGTAAAGCAGTCCTACTGATTTTTTTACTAACACCCCCCAAAAAAATCCCTTGTAGCTCTTGAATTGTGAAATTTTAATTGTATATGCAGATTTCAGCTTGTCACAAGAGGGCAGTAAATGAACATTTATTCTTGAGGAAGATTTTTTAAAAACTTAAAATATTTTTAAAAAGAGAATGAAACTTCATAATTAAATCAGACATTTAAGTATTTATTTAAACAGTTTCCCTGATTTTAAAATGCCACATTTTATTTGTAGGGCATCTAGAAACTGTAATTTGTATTTACTCCATGAGAAGCTCAATCTGCGAGCCTGCTCATTTAATGTCTTGGAAAAATAAAATATATTACTGCTATGTCCTGCTTCTTTTACTTAATATAAGAATTATTCCTAGTGGTGTGCCACCATTAGCTGGGATAAGATGCCTTATGTCAGGACAGGCCAACATTCATGCAGAAGAGACATCAGTAAGAGCACTTTTTTATGTTGATGCTTGTAACTTTTTTGTACCATCTTCTGGCTGATTAGCAGATCTCATCTGGGTTGGGGTTTTGTGCTTGTTAAATGTTTCCTGCTGATAAAGAACTCAAATCCAGGAACATAGGTAGACAAGGATCTTTGTGTGGTCATCAGCTCTTTCACTGAAATCTGATCACTGAAAAGTTACACATCTGGAAAAAATAGTGTTTCTTCAGGACCCTGAACTGGGCCCTGTCCTGTTTTCTGACAGCTCTGACAACTGGACATTTGCATTCCGTCCTCTCAGGTGGTCATTTGCTCCTCCATTCCCTGGTGCCCAGGGGTCACAGATCCTGAACTGTCATCAGGTCACTGCAGAAGACAGGTCTAGGATTGAAGGGGAGTGTCCACAGTCTTTTGGTGCCATTCCCAGGGCCAAGTCAGTCTGAGGCCCCACGAAAAGGGCCATCCCTTTCCCATGCATCATTCCAAGTGTCTCTGAGCTGCCATGTTCTGTACGTGCAGAAGCCAGTTTGCCATTGCACTGACACGGAGCTGAAATACTGCAGTCTAAAACACATTTGAAATAGAAGTGCCCTGCTAAATAAGCATGTTTAATTTACATGTTGCAGATGAAGCAAAAGAAGACAAAACTGAACAAGATGAGAAATTTTGTCTGTGGATGTATCAGATGGAAATCTTTTTCACAGCTAAACTCTTCCCTGCTTACCAGCAGGAAAAAGTGCTGAGGCAAAAAGTAGAAGAAAAGCAAAAGGAGGATGTTGAATTAGCTGAGCTGAGAAAGATCAAGGATGTGGAGCTGGCAAAGTAAGTGTTGAATCTTGTCTTGCAGTACTGTTATCTCTTATCTTCCTCTAACAAAATTATTGAAAATGAGAAATGTGCTTAAGAAAGTAGTTTAGCTTACTGGAACTGGAAAACAAACTCATCCAGGTGTAATTAGTAACATAGAGAATGTAACTGTCTGGAGTAACAAATACAGGCTGCTTTCAGGTTACAGAACTCTTAACCTCGATATTTCCTGACAAAGACAGTTAAGACATGTTTGGACTTGAAGTGGTGATCAGGCAGACTCTGCCTCTCTCTGCTAGGACAGTTCATCCTGCTCGGACTCTGACTAGGGCTGGCCAGTATAAATCTGTCTCCCCCCTCTTGCAGTACATTAAATTCCAACTTTGTCCACTCAGACTCATTGCTGAAAGAGAAGCAGAAGAGGTAAGAAGACAAGAAGCAGCTGCAGCAGAAAAGGCACGTGCCTCCCAGGGTGCAGATGCTGAGGAGGCAGAGGATCCTGTCCCACAGGAAGTGTCCCCGCGGAAGGGAAGCAGAGCGCGCCTGGCAAAGGGGGAGGCACAGAAGGGAGGGCCCTCTGCAAAGAAAGATGCCCACAGGAAAGACTCCTCACAGAAGAAAGAGGCCCAAAAGAAAGCACCCTCAGAGAAGAAAGAGGCACAGAAGGCAGCACCTGCAGGTAACAAGGGGCCTGCTAACAAGAAAAACAAACCCTCTGGTAAAAACCACTGAAACTTCAAACAAGTTCTCTTCAAATAGAAAAAAACCCCAAACAAACCAGAACAACAACACTTGTAGGGAGCTGTAAACATTATAAGACTGTATGCACAAGAATTGATTTCAGAGGGAAACTGTCTGTTTTGCACCAGGGTCTTGGGCAAATTACATTGCACTAAACTATCAGATAGTCACACAATGATGCAAATGAACACAGGAAAACAAAAAGATGCCCTTAAAAGTGTAACAATTATTAGCTTTATTTTCCAGCAAAATATTCACATAACATATCAGAATGGAATGGTACAGATGAATTCAGACTGGTTTCTAATTAGCTTGCACATGAACATGTTTAAAATTTAAAAATTTTATGGTCAGAGTTTACAGATTTTAGTAGAAATTTTGATTCTTACAAAGCAAGTATTGCTTTACTATTGTCATTATTCCAGTCAATAATATGACTAATAACTTCTCATGTTGAACAAGTGCCTGACATTGACATCTTCAATAAATCAGCCCTTTGCAGATCAGTCCAAGAAGAAAATATTATTAAACTGTGTTGCACAAAGTTTCTTCACTTCTTCTGTTAATAAAAAAAAAAAAGATACTTCAGTATGATATTTTTACAGAAACCTCCTCAAGAGAAACCCTGGGGATTGTCACAGAGAATATAACTAAATTCAAACAGAAAAAGCCCTATGAGTTTCTAACGTAGAAATACACTTAATGTTACTCTGTCTTCAGTAGGAGAAAGTCAAGTCTGGCATCTCACCCTGTCTGAAAGGTGAGTTGTATTTTAAGTGGCTGCAGTGTAAATGATGGGCCACTCATCTTGGCAAACTTACACTGCAACAGCAGCAGACTTGGCTTCAGCCTAAGGAAGTACATTATAACCCCTTTTTCAGAGAGAGGAGGAATTAGGGTAGTCTGTACAATAAATCAAGTCAGCAAAACTTTTGCTTTGTGCTATTTGGTAGACAACATTTTCTAAGTTTATCAGGCACAGAAACACTCATTTACTGTTTCTGTGTGGCAGGTTTGATGCTGAGAGACAATTACACAAAGATTTCTATGTCATGCAACTCATTTCTCTTTTTAAAGTGTAGGTTGCTAGGCTTTGGTCCTGGGAAGTATTAATTCTTTCCCATTGTCTAAGTGAGCACATTCCTCCTGTTAAGACAGAGAGCCCTAAAATTGCTGCAAGCAAGATTCAAACAGACTTTAGGAGAAATAGCAATTTAAAAGCTTATTGCATCCTAATGTTCATTTGCACTCTTAGTCACAGTAAATCATTCTGAAAACCACGTTAGAAACAAGACAGCAATGGGATGAGGATCCCTGACAGGACAGACAGACAGATATCATGTGTAAGTAACCTACCCCTGGATCACTGACAAATAAAACCCAACTCAGATGTAAATATGTTCATCTCTCACCTGTCATATACTGTATTAATTACTCCTAAACTAAGCTCATAGATCTCTCCTCTATTATTTGAAGGAGGAATAATGACTGATTAATAATTAAGAATGTCTGCTGAATATTTATGCTGTTCTTTCACAGCTGATAGAAGGCAGACTAAAACCTTAGGCAAACTCACCTGGTCTATCAAAGATCAATCACTCTCTACATTTCTCATGAGATGGATTTTATTACTTCCCTAGGGACATACATTATAGTAGTAACTGTATTTAGATGTAATAAAAAACAATCCTTACCATTAACTTCAATCAGATTTACATTTTTTTGATTCAAAATAACATACAGTTCTCTCTGGTCAGACTTCTTCCCAACTACCCAGTAATCACTCATTGCCTTCACAATAATTTCCTCATCTTCATCAACTCTGAAAGAAATTTTAGGAAGCAAAGAAGGTGGCAGCAAGTTCATCTTCAACAATTTGTCTGTAATCATTAGGATAGTTCCCTGTCATAAGTTGTTGTGGTTGTGCAGTATCAAAGAGAATACCAATTCTAACTCAGCCATCATTCAGCAGTCAAAGGCTTCATAAATGGCTGCTTAAGACATCCCCAAATGTGTAAATCATTAATTTGTCCATATTCTAAACACTCTGGTGCTCTGAAGAAAACACCTCTCCTCTGTTCTGGTGAGGACACACTTGACAGAATGATGATTTGCTATGGTTTGGTGATACTGAACTTTCACAGAACTAAATTCTAAACCTAGACCTAAACCATGCTCAACAGTTAGATACATTCTATAAAGCTGTCACTAACCCAGTACTTCCATAATATGATGAAACATTCTTTTTTCATTCATAGAAAAATGAAAACCTTGTCCCTAAGCAGAGTGGGAAAATTGCTAGTTGTTAATTAGAGTTATGAGCATCACAGTCATTCAACATTTTCATGTTCTTTATTATGACAGAGGGTCTCTCCCACCTTCAGGCTTGATACCCATTGACAAGAAGCCACTTGTCTTCTCCATCAGGACTGCAGTAACTGCAAGGTCCACATTCCATCCATTGTCTCACCCCAGCAGCCCCAGCTGTGGCAGGGGCAAGGATAACACAGGCACAAACGGGTTTCCCTGTCCTTTATACTACTTCCCCAGATTAGTCAGACTTTAGTGCTTCCCATCCCATTTGTTATGACTACTCTGAGGCCTCCAATAGATTAGATATTTTCTTGGATAGAGGCCCTGGCCCTCTTCTAAGTTATTTTTTTAAAAGGACACTAGAAATTCTGTTTAAGATGGACTGGTTCTAAACCAACACAAAATACCAAACATGAACAGCCAGCCATCAACAAAAAAGACTGGAAAGCTTCAGTCATTTGGAAAAAAAAAATCTAATTAACAGTAGGAGTTACAGACTATTTAATAGTTAAGCATTACCTGGAGAAGTCACTGTTGATGTCACCAAGAATCTTCATGAGGTCAGGGTGAACAGATGCAAGTGATACACTGGGTGTTTTCCTCATGTGAATGGTACTTTTCTCTGCCAGGTTCATGTGATTGAAATAGATAAACTTAAACTGAGGTTCCTTCTCAGCCCTAGGAAGATTTAAAAAGAAAAACAAAAGTGATTTGTGAATACTGACATGTTCTATAACCATAGGCTTCACAGAGAATGGGTAGTGAGCCAGTGCAAAGCTTACTCAGACAGCCTGAAGTCATCTTCACATTGAAGAGACCCAAGTGTTTTAAGACTTGTGGGATTGCACTTCATTTTAACACTTTAAAAAACCAAACCAAAACACAAACGAGCCTGCAGAACCAGCCAGTGTTTCCCCTTCTGCTGCTTAGGCTGCCAGTAAACAGACACAGGGGAGTCTAAAGGCCTTGTCCCCCTTCACAGTAGTTATTCATTTGCATTTTTCTAATGAGCTGGTTTTGCTCTGTCCCCATTTTGTTCCCTTGCTGCTCTCCCCTAGGCCAGTCCCTCTGATTTGAATGGATGCTCAGTCTTTACTTTGATCAGTAAGTCATCCTCCATTCATGTCTTTGTTATTGGTTACAATCCAGAGAACAAACTCTTCCCTGATCCAGGCAATTAGATTTGCCCCCAGCATTTGTGTGGGCCAAGCAAGAGACTATTTTCAAAGCCTTGGCAGTGTTCCTCCATTTCCACTTTTATGTATTTAATATAAAAACTGTCACTTAGAGCTGTAGTTTTGGTAGAAGCCACAACGAATTCAGATATGCAAAAACTGGCTACAGGAATTGGTACTTGAGGCAATGCATTATTTAGGACCAGGGAGATACTGTGATGACACCACTCACCTCAGCAAACAACCAGATACCCCTGCTCTCCGTCACCCACATGCATCAGTGTCAAGAAACTGGATCATGTTTTCAGGACACCATGGCATTAAACTTTTAAAGAGCTAAAGCTGCCAAAGCCAGTCCCAGATGACATTTAAAAAGCCCAAGTTTAATGATTTAGTAGATTGGCACAATTTCAAGCACATCCTATTCTATCCCGTGCGATTTTGCTGATTTGGGAAGCTACCACTAATGAGTTCACTCCCACACCTATCTTTGGTTGAATTCCTCCTTTGTTGCCATATGTGATACTGTTCTTGCTTCCCCAACTAACACATCTATTGAAAAATAGATACAATTTTATGGCAAGTCAAGTCCTCAACTGTAAAACTTCTGTTGTAACCAAATAATCCACTCACTAAAATCCCCATTTGAAATTGTTAAACAAGAGTTGTTCTGGTATCTAAACCTTCATTTTGCTTTTGGATTTGTAACTGAGTGAAGAGTTACACTGTCCAAGCCTTGTTCCTAAGGCAATACTCAGAGCCAGCAGTCAGTGACCACTTGATGTGAAAAATGCTGGTTTTTTAACATTACACAGAACAGCAACCTGGGAAAGCAGAATTCAAAGGAAATCTGCATGAAGGAGGATGTGGGCAAAGACAGTGATATTTTTAATTTATTTTTTTAAACTTAAATGTTCTACTGGCCAGAGGGCTATTTGTGAACATTATGAGATTCTGTTTCCCTCAAGAAAAGCTAGCCAGTATAAACTGAAGGTAAAATTTTGAGGGAACTGCTACTTCTCTACCTCAATATGGGGGAGAGGTGTCAGAAGACTTGTCAGTTTGTTTCAGTGCACATATGAAAGAAGTTCCACCTCTTGCACCTGAATGATTTACTGACAGCTGGGGCAGGAGGAGGCAGAATGTCAATTGGTAATGGTCATATTTGCCTTAGTATTTACATTATTTTCTCCACAGCAATCACGCACACAGAGGAAAAAGATTTCAGCCACACAATAAACACTCGTTCCTAAATTAGTAACATCTATGTTCTTTCTTCAGGGACACCTAAGCATGCAAGGACATGCACTTCATAAACACTCAGGGTGCAGAAAGGTAGACAAACATTGTTCTAAGTACACAGTTAACTCAATGCTTTCAAAAGCTGGGCTCATATTGTTATTTAAGCAGTTCATTAAACCTAACTTTTCAGCATGTAATGAGGGAATGCAGCAGGAAGTGTGGTACAAACCCCGATATTCTCTTGTTGATGTTGTATTGTTCACAAATGTCTGATGCCAGCACGGTGAGCTGAGGCCCAACAATGCTGTCCAGCTTCCTGCAGAACTCCAGCGTGGGCGGGATCGAAGCTGTGGCAGGGAAAGAAAGGGCAGAGATGGGATTCCCTTCCCACAGCTGAAGGTACAGTTTCTGTAGTTGTTCTCTTTAAACATCAGTATGAGTCCAAGGACAAATTTTTCTCATAATTACAACCTTATGGGTGATTTTGAAAGGGGCTCACTGAAGCAGTATTTAGTGTGTAAATTGAGTTACTTAAACCATTAGAGCAGACTGATAAAAGCACTCATGAAAAAGAGACTCAAATAACAAACTAATGGGAGTATTTTTCAAGAGTAAAACAAGCTGCATGTGAAAGTATTTTGTACTAATAACGTCTTGCCAAAGAAGTGATGCTGACAGGTACTTACCATCAATCATAAAGCAGACAGCTGCACTCATGGCCTGGAACAAAAAAAGTTAAAGTAAAAAAACCATTTACAACAGGTTACCTCAACTACCTCAAATAAAAGACAATACTTCAGTGAGGTCACACCCAGGTGAAGCAGTTAAATTAAAGAAGAAATTAAAAAAATCTACTTGAAAGGTAGCATTTCAACAGGATAATCTCTTTGCAATCCTACACAACAGAGTCAAGCTATGATTTTCAAATCAGCCCAGTTAACAGTTTAAGTTGTAGGGGAAAGGTAAAATTTGGTAAAAATGCATTTATGCAAAGATATCTTCAAGAAATTTGGATTTAATGTAAAAAAAATTTATTTTATTGATTAATCCTACTCAAGCAAGGTATGATATCACTTAAACCAACTGAAGGCTGGTACTTTGTTTTAATAAAACAGCTGCTTGTTTTGGAGAGGGTACAAAAGAAGGGGAAAGAGGATTCAGGCTTTAAAGTTTGTAGCTAGAAATGTTATTTTTCCGTCTCTTTGCTTTAACCTGGTCATATCTGTGCACCTTTCTATACATCCCTAAGTACTTCACATCACTGTCTTAATTGTACAGAGATTCCTAATTCTGTGGAGGAATTGCAGAGAAAACTGTAATACCTTATAAACAATTAAATGAAGCTCCTCGTAAGTGTCATCAGTGTTAACAAATATTTTGGGGAAGCGGCATTTTGTTTCTGGATCATTAAGATTTAAAGGTCCAGTAAGAAACCTAGAAAATAATTCAACAGGTCAGGTGAGATGAATTCCTGTATTTCAGTTTCTCCAGTTTAACAGGTGTTCTCCAAACTAACAATTACTTGCATGTATGAATAGATTTGAACACAATGAGTTTTCAGCTGTCCACACAGGCATAGAGCCCTTTGTATATTATCTCAACATTCTTACATTTTTTAAGGATTATTTGCAAATATGCCTCAAAGAGTTACAGAAACAGCATCAGAAAGGCAGAATAATGCTAAGGAAAAGCTGTGCAGATCATCAAAGAAACAACAACAAAATTCTTTCCACCTTCAGTTTGTGAGTATCTTTAAAATCCCTTTTTTATTGCTGTGGGGAAGCCCCTTTCCTTTCCTGTCCAACAGTACATCCAGACTAGTTTGGTGTAGGAAGTGGTGTACTAGAAGCACCTAAACTTGGGAGAGGGGTGTAGACAGGGAATGTGTGCCAATGTCTTGATCCCAAAGGAATACAATAAACCAAGGAAGAGGAATTCTCGTGATGAAGGATGTCCAAATCCACAATTACTCAAAATTATGTTGCCCGGGTGCTTAAGTGCAGAATTCCCCACCCTGATGCTGAGTACAGAGGAAAAGCAACTGGTAAATCCTAGATTAAATCTACACCTTTGTCTGGAGTGCCTGGCTGAAAAGAAATGACTGGAGCAATTCCCAAATTTGTCAGGCAGTGCATTAAGAACAATGGGAAGAAAAATAAATGTGAAATTATGTTAATGAAGCATTTTCTCTTTTTTCCAGAGGTTAGGTTTCACATTGCAGCACCTACTGTGCAACCCTCTGGAATGAACTGCGTGTGGGTATGTACTCAAAATACACATACTTCTCCCAGGGGTTTTGCCCTTGAGGGAAGAAGCAGCAGATGGGGACAGTAAAACAGGACCCACCTTCCATAGTGCTGCAGATTTCCCGGCATTTCAGCACGTATTGGAGAATCTCTTCCCGCTAGCTGAAGCAAAAAAGGACACACAGGAAAAAACAGCTTAGAGGCAGAGAGAAGAGAGATATTTCTCCTTGGTATTTTAGCCCTTAGTAGGATCAGAGAAACAGGGAGAAAAGAAAAAATAACAAACACAAAACCCAAACCAACCACGTTCCCCCCCAAAAAACCCCAACCCAACTATCATACCTCAGGCTCCATGTGCCTTGGAAACAGAGATGTTGTGAGATATTTGTACAAAATTCTCATGTCATCTTGCTCCAGTCCACTCCTAGAAAAAACCCACAAATGATGTTTGTGCTGCAGTTCAGATCACACATTTTCCTCCAACCAAAACTCGAGCAGAGCACATAATAAACCAGGGCAGCAACATTTCAATCCCAGGAATTAATTTCTATTACAATGTTAGTTTATTTGCTAAATGCAAAACACATATAAATTAGCCATAAACCAGAAAAAAAATAAAATGATACTTAAACAAAGATCCAGTTTGCTATTCTTAAGTCCATTTTTAAGTTGAACTCTTCACAAGCATTGCAACTTCTAGTACAGAATGACATGAAGAACAATCCTTAATTTAATTACCTTCAATTCTAAAAATTCCTATGGAGGAACCTGTGTATATTCACAGAGGCTCTTGTGATGGAGATGACAAGGACACTTCTCCAGCTGCTCCCCAGGAAGTAATAATTTGATACAGGCTGGAGATTTTAAAGCTCAGACCAATGCCTTTTCTACTGAATGGTAGCATGACTCATGTTTTCTCGTTTTTATCCAACTCTTTCACTGATTCAAAAGCTTTTCTATTTTGACACTCATTTATAGGATGAGAAGTTGAAGACACACAAAAGAATTACTGAAGTACCTACCAGATAAGCTGGTCATTGTAGAGGAATGCAGTATACTTGACTATGTTCAGGCTTTCTTCCATCCTATTAATAAATGACTGAATTTTCAAGTAAGTCATTTTATCCAGTGGGAAGAAGCTGATTCCACAAAACACATCCAGTAGATCACAAGACTGTAAGTGCAGTGTCTGCAGGTACTGAGAGAACAATGATAGGTGGCTTTTAGAATTCAGAAAACTGACAATGTGTAGATTTAAATGACAAATTTGAGTCTAATCACCAATAATCTGGATTAACAAAGAAAGAAAATCCTTCCAGTTCTGCTTGTCTTGGGAGCAGATAATTAGCTTTCAATGTGCAAAGGAAGAGATATTTTCTGTTGTTCTCTTTCTTGATAGAGTGTAACCTTTACCAAGAGATTTCTAATGCACTATCTAGTGCTCTGTGAAAGATGTGTTATCCAATGGCTCCCTCTACAGTCATTTCACATCACCAAAAACACACAAGTAATGTGTGACAGATTTCTCTCAGTTTGTAATCTAAGTCTTATTTCTTTTCAGAGTTTCAGTGCAGTGCAAGCCTGCCAGCAACATGTTGCTAACTTGTTCAATAGGGTTATAACAGAAAATTTGAATGACTACATTTTTTAAGCTCTTCTAATTTCCTGATGAAAAAGAGAAATTTTCATTGGGTTTCTTTCTATTATACAAACCTATAGAAATTACTGTTTTATTTTCAGTAGGAACATCAAAGAAAAACAATGTTTTAAAGATAAAAATACATTACTTTCTTTTTTGCCATGGTCTATTTTTAATAGACAGAAACACACATCAGCTCATCAAAGTACTCCTTGTGACAGGGGTGTTTATTCTAAAGCCTACAAGTCTTACAAACAAACAAAACAAGACCCTCCCCAATCCACAAGCAAAGCCTGTACTTCTGTTTACACTGTCACAATGTTGTGTTATTTTAAAAATCTGTTAGGAGAACAAAATTTTAAACACCCTTACACAGTGTCTACACTCCATCCTTAGCAGGGATCTCAAGATTCACATCTCTACCACAAAAGCACTAACTGCTAACAGCAGTCCTGTTTCCTTCTGTGCAAACAAGGAGAATGGGAGCAGGCAGGCACTTGGCTGCCACCTTTTAAAGCCTGATGAAACTTTTCATATAGGAACTCAAAGTTCTGCCAGACTATTCAATCAGTTACTTGGTGTGAAAAATACATGAATAATATTTGATTTCTTGCTCAGAAATAGATTTTGCTTTTCATTCTTTCACTGAAACATCAGCTTTGAAATTATATTCTGAAGGCTAGTTATAATGAAGACAATATTTCCTCTAACCTTCTCAGGCATGACTACTAATTCCACCTGGGGGTGTGGTAGGGGGAAGAAGTTAAAAATTTAAACTATTTACTGCTTCACCACGTGCATACAGGGTGTGGAATCTCCACCCCTGGATCTTTTCAAGACTCAACCATCCAAAGCTCTGGGCAGGAGAGTTTAAATACAGTGTTTCCCTGCTTTGAGTAGGAGGCTGAACTGGATGACCTTCCCAGGTTCCTTCCAGAGGCAATGATTCTGCTACAGTAACTCAAATAGTTACTCAAATAAAACTCAAAACTAGTATCATAGTAACCAATTCCAACACCAAAACAGAATTTCTGAAGAATGCACACGATTGTGTTAGGTAAAGTATCCAACAGCTTTGTGGTTCAACTCCACTTGAAGAACCTACTGCGGTAGTAGAAGCAGGAAGTATTTGACAAAATGAGTACCCAGATACTTTGTGTTGCCACCACACGTTTTCCACTGCCTATGTTTTATAGTCACACTGCTGCCACTTAAAGGAGATTTTTGCATCTTATTTCCAATGCAGAATCATACTTTATGTGCCTGAAAATTAAGGTCTTACCCGATGGAAGAATTTCTCTAGTCTCTCCTTTAGCCCTTTCACACCTCCATCTTCCATGGCCTTCAGGAAGGTGCCATTGAAAAGCTAACAGTTAAAAAAAAAAAATCAGTTAGTTGGGCAATCATTTACAATAATTTCTTGTAACTTGGCTATGAATATAGCTAGGTTACAATACACCTCTCATTCCTCAGTATTTGTACTCCACATCAGTCCAAATGTACCTCTTCTTTATTGAAAAAACATCTAAGATTTGAGGAGTCCAGGTAGATATGGCAGCAGAGGCAGAATATTTATGTGTCATTTAAGTGTCTTATGCTCTTGTTTTGTAAAAGGCCTTTAACCAGGGCTGTTTCTCAAACAGATAATAGCTTAACACCATCAAAATCAAATACTTATTAGTGTAACTGCCCATGAAACTTGGACTTTACAAAAATTAGAAGGCTTTTATTATTACAATAAACTATTGAACCAGCACAGAGCTGTATTTTTCTCTTCCATGAATTCCTTTTCAGCTGCAGGAAGAGAGCAGATAACAGTGAGGAGATCAGAATGCCAAAGCAATGATGAGCTTGCACACCCAAAGGGTACCATGAGGATCTTCTTCCCTTCCCCAGAGGAGCCTCTGGTATTGACTGTACCTTGTACATGCTGTAGCACTGCTGCAGGACTGAGCTATAGACCTTGTCCTGCAGGAAAGAGAGCAGCACATCAGTGAAGCAGAGGCAGAATTACAAGTATTTTGGCTGAGCTAAACATAATGTATGTTTTCAAAGAGCCAGCAAAGACACAATTTAGAGAAATCAATCTCCGAAAAGTTAAATAGCATTTTCAGTCAGCATTTAGAAATGTCTTTGTACTCATAAAGTACAGTTTCAACAAAGGGAGTCCCTTCCCCCCTCACATTTAGTACCAAAAGCACCTTACAAACTCATGCCCAAGATTCCAGTTACAAATAGTGCTCTTCCCTGAGGTCAGCACCCAGTGAACACAAACCTATTTCTGGTAGCTTTCTCTTCATCCAGGTCAAAGGCTGAAGGAGGTTTTTGGGGCTAAGATCTCAATCCAGATGCAAAAAGACAAATTAACTGGCAAAATAAGAGTCCCTATGACACCCATCCTTTTGTTAGGACACAATCAGGAACAGAGGTAGTGCACACTGTATTGAACAGGGGCAGGGGTAACCAACCAGCTTTTTAAATATTACCCTGCCTGGCCAAATACCCTTCCTGTATATGATTAAACAGGCCTAATGATCCTGCAGTTTGGACAAGAAACCTCAGGATAGTTATGAGCTGTTTAGTTTTCCAGGTTATTAGTAAATATTACTAGCAGTCTTAAGAAAGTAGTAACACGTATACTTAAACCTAATAAAAATATGTAGACTTAAAATCTTGCAAGAACTTCATTAAACAAACAGATCCTAAGAAATATTCACCTATTTAAAGCTAAAGTCTCATAGCTGCATATTTTGCTGATGTTTATGGGATGATCTTGAACTGTTCTCTGGATAATCCTCTGTCTTGTACTCTTCTTTAAACTTGACTGAAAATACTTTGCCCTCTTTCCATTTATGGAGATAGATATGGATATATAGAAAAATCAATTTGACAGCAGTTCAAGAAGAATCAAACTAAGATATTTCTGGAAGTACCCTTAAAATACAATATAACCCATTAAAAAAAAAAAAAAAAGGAAAGTTCAGTCTTACCAGCAATTCTTCTTCCTGATATTCATAGACTGGCTTTCCATCTTTGTGTTTTTCTATTATGGGATTCCGTACAACCTAGGAGGTGGAACAGGCTGGTATTAGACAATGCAGAATGCATGGAGAACATTGCAGGATGGTGCTTTAGGAACATGCAGATCACATGCATAAGTACCATGACCATCCAGAAGTTTTCTTCAGGTTCGTGGAAAAATTGTCTGTTCTTCTGTGTATGTAGGGATTTTGCTGGTTTTGTTGGACTAAAGGTCCTGGAAAGAAAACATATATGTGGACACAGTCACAGCAAGAAGACATATAACTGAGAGATTTAAAATACAGTGCTTGTGCCAATACAACAAGCCATGCAATCAGACTTCTTACCTCGTGAATTGCACTATAGCTTCACATAGCCCTACATTTCTAATTTTTTCATTCTTTTCTACTTCATTTGGGTGATAGAAGAGAATCTTCTTTTCTTCCTAAAATGTGAAAAAAGAAGAATCCAAGCAAATGCATTTTAACAAAATCAGAGTTAAAGAATATTGAGTACATGGTTTGCTTGTTTTTTAACTTTAATCCCTGTATTTCCTAGGCAGAATTCTATCTTGTACCAAAATGGGCTTCTGTAATAATGGATAAAAGCATATTTAAGCACATTTAAGCAGTCAGTCATCCCATGATATCTCAAAATACTTTATAAATTGAAGGCTATTGAAATAGCTTCTCTGCTAGTTCAAAGCAAGGCGAGCTTCAAAGCCAGATCAAAGCAAGGCTAGTTTCAAAGCCAGCTCAGATTGCTCCAGGCCTTGTCCAGTCATGTTTTCAATATATCCAAAGATGGAAATTCCACAACCTTTCCAGGCCCTGCTCTCCTATTAGACCACTTCACTGTGAAGAATGTTTTTCTTCTAGCTCATCAGAATTCCCCTTGCTGGAACTTCATCCATTACGTCTCATTCTTTCACTTCAAGAACCCGACTCCACCATCTCCAGCCATTCTTCAGGCTGGTGAAACTGCCCTCAGACCCTCTTCCACATCGTCTGTTCTTCAGCTGCACAAATACAGTTGAAGGCTCTCCTGGTACGGCGCAGACTGGCTCGAGAGCTTTTCACTGGGCTTGCTTCATCTTGTCAGTATTTTGCTCCCCTGGGAAGCCCTGGAGGAACACAGCACCCACCAGCAGTCCCACACGTGCTGGAGAGGGGGAAGCAATCCCTCCACTGGCCCTGCTGAGCCACAGCCCGGCTTGCCCGGCTCCACTGCCACAAGTGCTGCTGATTCACGTACGACCTGTTGGTCACCAGACTCCCTGGTCCTGTTCTGCAAAGCTGCTTCCAACCAGTCAGCCCCTGACCTGCCATGGTGTGTGAGATTATTTCACCCCACACACGGGAATTTGCCTTCACTGAGCTCCACCA